GTAAAGTAAATTAATTAACTAATCATAGAGGTATAAAGTGTAAATTTAAAATTATAATAATAAAAAAATTGGTTCAATATGAGAGGGTGAGTGTATGTGAGGAGATGAAGGGGGCGAAAAAGTGAGGTAGTATAGATAAGGGTATCTTGGTCATTTAGTATTTTAAGACTTTAAGACTTTTGCTAAATTTGCTTTATAAGATAGTATAGATTTTTTGGAATTCATCTGTACTATATTATAAAGTATTTGATAAAAACTCTTAAAAATCATTTTTTATGCGTAAAGTACTGTTTATTAATGCATATTACTTAAAACTCAATGTTACAAGCAGATTTTACGTAAGTACAACTTATTAAAGCTCCATATCTAAATTCGTGTAACTAACTGCAGATAAACATAATCAAATACAAGATAAACATTTCATTTTAAATATAAAAAATATAAAATATATTTAGGATAATTATTGAGTCTAACAGAATACTTAATTATTATCTTTATAAAATTTATAATATTAAAACAAAAATAAATTATTTATTTTATTATTAAACTTAAATTAGATTATAATAAAAAATAAATTAAAGAGATTAAACATAAAAATTGAGAACTTTTAAATTGATGATGTGATATTAACATTGATATATTTCTGTTCAAATTTTTATGATAAAATAAAATCATTATTGATTTCTTAAAAACACATAAAATCGTATTATAACATCGACAGAGACAAATAATAAAATAGAACATTAAAATCGAGATGTGTCTCGCTGCATTGGACGAGTACTCTTCTAGTTTATATATAGTATTTGATAAAAAAAAAAAAAAAAAAACTCTTAAAATCATTTTTTATGCATCAAATACTTTTTATTAATGTATATTACTTAAAACACAGTTTATTAAAACTTCATTTTGAATTAGTGTAACTAACTGCAGATAAATATAATCAAATACAAGATAAACATCTTATTTTACATATAGAAAATCTAAAATATAATTAGAATAATCATTGAGTTATAACAAAATACTTAATTATTATTTTTATAAAAAATTATATTATTAAACGGAAAATAAATTACTTTGTTATTATATCTATATTAAATTATAATAAAAAATTAAATTAAATAAATTACATAAAATTGTGAACTTTTTAAATAGTTAATTTGATACTAATATCGATATATTTTTTAAATTTTTATAAAATATTCGAATTTATATTTTATTCAAATATAAAAACATTATCGTTTTATGAAAACCACCTAAAACCATGTTATAACATCAAGAGAGATAAAAAAAATAAGATGAAGCATTAAAATCAAAAAATTTCACACCGCATTGCGTAAGTATCATTCTGATTGTATCATAAAAAAATTAAGGAAAAAATCTATAAAATAAAAAAAATTAATATATAATTTCTTAAATTTCAAATTTATATATAATAGGTGGATGCCTACGATCCTTAATCAAAGGAAAACTATTTAAGGATTGTTTGGTTAATTTTTTATTAAGATTCATATGAATAAAGTTGTCTTTGGAGATTAATCTATGTATATAAATTGAGAAAGTTTTCGTATAAAATGATTTTTTCATAAATGAAATGAACGTGTTTTTTCGATAACTGAATAAGCCATTTTCTATGTCATTAAACCATTACCAAACAATCATATATGATTGACCGAATAAGTTACAAGTCTCGTCAAATTAATTAAGCAGCTAATAAGCATACCATTAAGCTACATAATAGTAAAATTGTTAAATATTTTTAAATATAGGATAATTATTAAAATTTAAGAGAATATTGTACATCATGATCTTTTAAAAAAAATATAAAAAAGTA